AAAAAAAAAAAAAAAATAACTGAGTCCTGTTTCCTGAGTGTTTCACTGGAATTTCCATTCCAACTACTCAAAAAGGACTATTCCCAACAACTTTACTGGCAGCCTTTCAAAACAAAAATTACTCTTTCTTTTTACATTAAGAAAGATGCATACTTCTCTTCATAGGACTTCTCATTTCACTACATCTACTAATTTCTAATTTTCTAATCAATCAGTGTGTTTTAAGAAGAGAGCAAAAACAGAGTTTTAAAATAACTCTTATCCCAATTCTGAAATTTACCATTTTCTTCTCCTGTTGTTTTTCGTTTATCCTCTGGTGAAACATGGACCAGTTGCAGAATGAGAGGTCTCCGGGTCACAATACCAGTACCTCTGGGAAGCAGGTCCCTCCCCACTAGGCTTTCTAGCACTGAGCTCTTTCCACTGCTCTGAAAACAGAATATACAGGAGCAAAATGAGTTTCTTAACAGATATTTTTTGTTAGTCCAATAAACTATACTAACAAAGTAACATACAAAAAAAGTTTGTATTTAAAGGAAAAATTAGTGCAAATTTTAAAAATGAAATTTAGTTACATTTTCCATTATATGATCTTTCTTTTGAAAAAATACAAAAATAAAGCCCCTCTCTCCCATATTTTTCCTACCTTTTGTGAAGCTCTCCCAAACAGGTTTCAAAACCTACATAATATTGGTATACAGAAACTCACACCTATGATACGTAGAGATTTCCCTTTAAATGAGATGGTACTGTATATGTTTTTCTCTAACCTACTTTTACTTTTAATATAACGATCAGGAATATAGTTCCATATCAAACTATTAACTTCTTTCTGTGTTTAACAGTTAAACAGGGCCTGGTGTAGGCTTCGTCACTGTGGGTAGTCAAAGCTGGAGGATCACTCGAAGCCAGGAGTTCAAGACCAGCCAAGGTAACACAGCAAGACCCTATCCCTACAAAAAATTTAAAAATTAGCCAAGATGCTGGCATGTGCCTGCAGTCCCAGCTATTGGGAAAGCTGAGGTGAGCAGATCACTGGAGCCCAAGAATTCAAGGATACAATCCGATCTGCCACTGCACTCCAACCCACTCAACAGAGCAAGACTCTGTCTCTTTAAAAATAAATAAATTATAAACAGTAGTCTACTGTATATAAACCAAACCCCCAACTGATGGACATGTAAGTGTTTTTTTGGTTTTTATTATTACTAATAATGTTGCAACAAATATGCTTCTATACATACATAGCCTTAATCCCTTATACTATTACCTCATTAGATTTAGTTTATTTAAATAAAATTGCCATTGATTAAAGAGCATATAGATTTGGCAGCGCCTATAGCTCAAAGGAGCAGGGCGCCAGCCCCATATGCCAGAGTTGGCGGGTTCAAACCCAGCCCCGGCCAAAAACTGCAAAAAAAAATAAATTAAATAAGAGCACACAGATTTTAAGCATTTATGGATACTGTCAGACGGCACACAAGATGGCATCACGCTGTATTTCCAACAGTTTGTCAAAGGCTGATCAGTATGTTGCATCCCCATCAGTACTGGGCATTATCACTTTCTGAATCTCTGCTATTTTGATAGATGAACACTGACAGCTCATTTAAATCTGCATTGCTTTATTTTTCTTTTTTTGAGACAGTCTCACTATATTGCCCTCAGTAGAGTGCTGTGGCATCACAGCTCACAGCAACCTCAGACTCTAGGGCTCAAGAGATTCTCTTGCCTCAGCCTCCCAAGTAGCTGGGAGCAGAGGTGCCCGCCACAATGCTGGCTATTTTCTTGTTGCAGTGTTGTTTAGCTGGCCCAGGCCAGGCTCAAACCCGCCAGCCTCAGTGCAGGTGCATTGCTTTATTATTGATGTCAAGCATCTTTCTGTTTAAGGACTGTCTGTATTTTTCCTTAGTGATTTTTCAAATGCTACTATTTTATCTATTTTTATCTAGTTTATGTATTTCTTACTTTATAATAAAGCTCTTTATGTACAATATTAAGTATTCATTTTTTTGTTTTCAGTATTTACCCCCAACTTTTTATTTAAAGTTTTCAATGCTACAAAAAAGTTACAATAGTAACAGTGAATTCTCATATATCTTAACATCAAGTTACCACTTATTAACATTTTAACACATTAGCTTAATGTCTCCTTACACATACACACACTTTTTTCATTTCCTGTCTCATCTGAAAGTTAGTTATAGGTATCATGACACTCCACTCGAATATTATGGCATGCACCTTATAAGAATAAGAGCATTCATCTGTATATATAAAACCACAATACGATGATCACATTCAGGAAATTTAACATAGATAAAATACTACTAATACATAACAAGTAATTTATAAAGCTCTATTATACATTTTAATATATATGGTCTCTATTAGAGTTTAAATATTTCTTTTTTTTTTTTTTTCTTTTTGAGACAGAGCCTCAAGCTGTCCCCCTGGGTAGAGTGCTGTGGCATCTCAGCTCACAGCAACCTCCAGCTCCTGGGCTCAAGTGAGTCTCCTGCCTCAGCCTCCCAAGTAGCTGGGACCACAGGTGCCCACCACAACGCCCGGCTATTTTTTGGTTGCAGCCATCATTGTTGTTTGGCGGGCCCGGGCTGGATTCGAACCCACCACCTTAGGTGTATGTGGCTGGCACCTTAGCCACTTGAGCCACAGGCGCTGAGCCAGAGTTTAAATATTTCTAAATTTTCCATTTTTCTTTCTTTTTTTTTTTGAGACAGAGTCTCACTATATCACCCTAGGGTGGAGTACAGTGACATCACAGCTCACAGCAACCTCCAACTCTTGGGCTTAAGTGATTTTCATGCCTCAGACTCCCTAGTAGCTGGGATGCCCACCACAACACCCAGCTATTTTTTTGTAGTTGTCACTGTTGTTTAAACCCGCCAGTCCCAGTGTATGTGGCCGGTGCCTTAGCCCCTGAGCTATAGGCGCCAAGCCTATTTTTAAATTTTTTTTTAGTTTAAAACTTACACACAAAAAGTTGGAGTAGTAGCTGTGTCCTACACCCAGGAAGTGTGTCATATATCCTTGCATGTCAATGGGAAGCTATGGAACCCCCTTACCCTCTTTCTTGAATTTAATTGAGATTTTCTCTCGTGTGGATCTATGATTGTTAATATCCTAGCATTAAGCTGGTACAGAGTACATGTGATGTTTGTTTTTCTAACGTTCTGATACTTTGCTTAGGAGGATGTTCTCCGAATCCATCCAGGTTGTTACAAAGGATTAAATTCGCTATTTTTCTTAAGCTTTGCAATATGCTATCTTTTTCTGCTATATTTTTACAATATGCTATCTTTTTTTGCTATATTTTTTCTGTACTGTGGAAGGATTAAATTCACTATTTTTCTTAAGCTTTGCAATATGCTATCTTTTTCTGCTATATTTTTGCAATATGCTATCTTTTTCTGCTATATTTTTTCTGTACTGTGTTTTCATTAGTCAAAACTAGTACATCTTTTAATTTAGTACTTTCTACAAATGCAGAAATCCTAATTTGACCTGTTGTATCAAACAGGGTGTACAGGAAGCCAATGGCACACACAAATTAGGTTAACTTAAGGAGAGTTTATTTATAAACAGACTATTTACAAAGCTATGGTAAGGCTTAGGGGAATCTCAAGGGTTAGTGCAGTTACCCAGGCTAGTTAACAAGAGAGAAAGAAACTCTCACCACCCATACACCCCAAAGGAAGAACGGAGACTTTAAGAAAAGTGACACAACCAACCTAAGGCTCCTAACATACAAAAGTGTGAGATAGGCGAATATGTACCAAGACTTTTATCTCCTTCCAATCCCCTGGTAGGGCCCCTCATTTCCAAATCCAATTAGAAGCCAGAGGACACAGGGAAACCATGTCCTCTGAGAAGTCCCCTATGATAGAGAACAGGAATGCTGAGTGGCTCTGGAGGGTTCAATTGAAGATTATGTGACATGTGTGTGAAACGATACTTTTTGGTATCCAGAAATAAAATAGGGTGCATTCTATTATTTCACTTCTGTACTCTGAAATAATTTAAACACAGAAATTTCCTGTTCTAGCCCAGGCATGGTGGCTCACACCTGTAATCCCAGGACTTTGGGAAGCTGAGCAGGGTCCAGGATCTCTTGAGGCCAGAATTTAAGATTAGTCTGAGTAATACTCAGATTCTGTCTCTACAAAAAATAGAAAAATTAGCCCATACCTAAGGTCTCAGCTACTTGGGAGGCTGATGAAGGAGGATCACTTGAGCCTAGCAGTTTGAGGCAGCAGTGAGCTACAATGACACTACTGCACTCTAGCCCAGGCAACAGAGTGAGACCCTGTCTAAAAAAAAAAAAAAAAATTTCTATTCTTAATGTTTGGCAAAACCTATCCATAAAATAACATCTAATTTTCTTTAATTTTCACTTTTAT